GTGGGTTTCCAATTCCACTCTGGCTGTTAGTGAGTAAGTAAATTTTACCCCACCAGGACATCACACAAGCGATAAACACCCGGTGACACAAAGTACCACCATGCGGATGAGGATCACCCGTGGAGAGGCCCCAGAAACCGCGTTTAAACGTTAGGCTATATTGCGGCTCCCGGCAGTAGCCATTGACTTGATTTGATTTGATTCAAGAACCGACATCACAGCACTCGGGGCATTTCCCTAAGCGCTCCGTCCCCATCTTCAGCAGCCAGCGAAGAGTTCCGATACTAATGGTGCCAGTAGCTTTCTGATTAAACGTCCGTCTTGCCTTTCCTCTGAGCCTCGAGCTTCTACCAGAACCTCTCGTCACCCCCAACTGCATCAATCTCACCAGACTGTGGTGATCCATCTGCTCCTCCGAATTGTACACGCTCTCCCACAAGGCACTAACCACGTCTGCCCTATCATGCATCAGTATTCTACCAAGCTGTGCAGAGCCAGCCAGTCTGTCCGCCTGTTCATTTCCCAATACACCGGCGTCACCAGGTGAAAAAATCCAGACAATACTCCTTACTCGTGTCCTCCGCAGCGAAGCATGCCACTCTGCACGAAGCATACCTGTTCTGATCTTCCTCAGCATGCTTTCTGAATCAGTTACAATCACGATGTGTGTGTGTGTGTGTCGTGTTCTCTAGCCAGCGGAAAGCTGCAGTGACCGCCTCCACCTCCATTCTTAAGCTGGATGTTGTGGTATCATATGCTAGGCTCTCCAATGGCAGTAGCCTTTGGCGGGGCTTCAAAAATAACGCAAAATTGCGTCCAACATGGGGACAACAATGATAAATTATCGCTGTCTGTTTAAGATCCTGCGCGTGTATGGGAGTGCCCAGGTGCTGGTTTGTCGGTCATTAACTCAGCATAAACCAAACAGCAGCACATTATATGCGATGTGAACGAACTCTGTAATGTTTATGTTTCTGAAAGTTTACTATCTAATCACCATCAAGATAGAGGCTGTCAATGGGAAAAGAGACTCAAGCAGCGTTGGACCGTTAAAAACATTAACTTTTAACAGGAAATAAACGAGAAACAGGTATCTGGTTTGGGTTCCCTAAAACACTTGGGAATCTGACATTGAGACCACCCCAGGTAATCTTTGCCGTTTTTAAACAGGAATAAAACTTCAGTTTCGGCTGCCGGTTTGTCGTTTGAGCCAAAACAAAGAAAGAAAGTGACAAGCGAACACACCTTTAGCGTTTCTTTGCACCAAAAATAGAACAAATAAATATTTAGCAGGAGAAAGATAAATTAGCTTCATAATTTTTCGGGCTGAAATGCTCGCGGAACAACAATAAATAGAGAACAAAAGTAAGTATGCAGATAGTGAAGGATTTTTCACACATGTGGTGCACTTAGTGTCGGATCTGTGGCGAACAAAGTCGATGCGAACGCTGCGTAATGCCGGGATGCCGGGTTCGATCCCAGCTGCGGGCCATGCGCCTTGCGTTGGTTTCGACAGTGGTATCAAGAAAGCCGACCGCGTCCAGGAAGCAGTGGCAAACTACTGGACGTAAATTTGCCTAGAAAAACCACACAGTAGCCAGGGGCTGTTAGGGTTGGTTCTGCAACGTCCTGTAAAGGATACGCAACTAACCAGAGCACATAGTTCATTTATTCATTATCCTGTTGTGCCATTAGATGTCATATGGGGCTCTCAGTCAACTCCTCCATTCCATTTTATCCTGTGCAATGAGTTTAGTATCAAGTATGGAATTCAGTCCAACAGCTTTGACCTCTCCCTCTTAATCCCTTTATTTCTAATTTTAATAGTCGGCGTTTGCTGCTTAGGCATTGCGAACGCGCTTCGTAATGCCGGGGTGCTAGGTTCAATCCCAGCTGCAGACGGTTTGTCTTGCGTTCGTTTCGACAGTGGTACCGAGAGTTGACGGTTGTGACAACAGTGGCAGAACTACTGAAGTACAATTTGCCTAGAAAATATACAACAGCCAATAAATGCTGGGGTTGGTTCTGTAACGTCCTGTTAAGGGTACGCAACGCTGGTTTCTTCTCAGGATGTCTCAAATGTAACGCCATCTTCTCTAATTCTATAACTGCTAATAGTAGTTGTTGCCCAGACATTTCTCCACTCCTTTTGAATTCATCCCATTTTATTTTCATCATTTTCCCCAGACATTTGCTTTCAAATGTATTTATATTTCGTTCCATGTGGTGCATTCAGTGTTGGATCCAGACTGACCATGTGGAACTCGTTGTGTGATGTGGTCATCTGCTGCCCTGTCATCAAGAAATACGGGAATGTGACTCAGTCCCCTTATAATTTGCTAGAGGTGTGAAATAATGGGCTTAAGCCTTGTTTAAACACACAGTAATAATGTGCTGAATGACAAAGACAAATATAATTTATTTCGAATGAATAACCCCCCCTCCCCTCCGCACCGGTCCCGTGTTGATTCCCAGGCACCAGTGTGGCCGAAAACAAGCATACACCTACGGACTCCATAACAAGCATGTCGTAGGAGTCGACTAATTATGGGATTCATTCAACATCGAAGTGCATCTGCCAAAGAGGCAAGGAACCAACAGTCTGCATTCAGTTAGTCAAGATCTATCAAACTTATTCGCAAGCAGAAATCAGGCTGTAAATACAGCCAATGTCTAGAAATAAACGAACTGCCGATGAGCGCAAACAAATACAAGAACTAAGTAAACAAATACTTGACAAGAAAAAATCGGTGCATGGTTATGAGGGCTATTTAGATAACTTGCTGATATTTTAGAAGGTGAGAGCGCCCCCCCCCCTCCCCTTCCCCAATTCCTATACCGCAACCTCTAAGTATTTTTGGAAGGAAAAAATGAGGGGGAACTCAAAGTACCAAAGCCCTACCCTTAGTTTCCTTTTATGGATTTAAAGGTTTCGTTCCAGATCTTGAGTTTTTTTTTTTTTTCGTCCTACAGATCTAGCTTACATGCAGGAAGTCTGTTGATTCATTTTCTGTCATAAAGATGCACTCCGACTTCTAAGAATTCACCCCTAATTAGCCGACTGTTACGACATGCTTGTTGGAGGGGGCGAAGGGGTCGGGGTCGGTGAGTAAATCACCCCCCCCCCCCCCCACTTTCCTTCCTCCCTCAACAGGACACGAAGAACCCAACAGAGTAGTTATAAATTTGCTGGAACTTTCCCCGAAACTCTGTTCAAGACAAATTTTCCACTAAGGAAAAACAATAGGTTCTTTATTAATATCCCACCCTAGATGATGTCACAAGACAGTCCAACGTTTTAGAGGGTGGTAAGACGGGTGTCCCGGCTTTCTGATGCTGTTAACGACCCTAACACATCTAGAACTGGCCCTAACCCCTGCCCACCTACGTCCCACGAGAGAGTGCAGCCTAGGTCCCACGACTGCATTTAGCCTATCTACCACATGCTGAAATATTAGACTGTACCGTGACCTGTGGATTTTCCCTGTTTGGGGTAGGATATTAATAAATCACCAAACAATGTTATGATCTAGCGAAGCAAACGATCTTAGCCCTGAGCGGTTTTTAAGTGTTTGTTTAGAACTCGTAGATGAGCTGTAGATTGTTATCTTCCATTTTGTGTGTGATAATGTGGGAAGCTGGCGGTTTAGTCTTCGTGTTGTTTCTCTGAAGTCTCCTTGATGACTGCTCCGTACACAGCCTGCTGGTGGTGTCACTTGGTGCAGGAATGTTGTTACGAGATTGTTGTCTACGTGAAACCACTTGTCTGAGATGCTGGCGAAACAGATGAAAAATATTTGCTTGTTGAATATGTCTACTTGCCTACGTGCACGTGGGAGGTGGGACGTGAGGAGGCGTATTTTAATTCAGAGGTGGCGTTGTCCTTTCTGCTTCTTGATCTTCGTGCAGTTAAACGTCTTCGTGATTTGGGAAATGTGTCTTTGGTCTTGATTTGTGTGCACTTTCTTCTTTAGCGGTTGTCTATTTTTTTGTTGGGAGACGCCATGATGTAGCAACCAGACGCTCGCCTGCGGATAGGAAGGTCATGGGTTCAGATCGTCACAGAGCCTGCCTTTTGTTTTCTTTCGAAAATGACTTTGGCTCCAAGGTCAGGTCGACCCAGACTTAGATGGGTACCAGGTAATGTCATGGAAAGTAAAGGCGGCTGGTAGGATGTTGACCACGTCAACCATCGAGTGCCAATTGGTAAATAAAATAGATAGGTTTAGCCCTGTATGCCCAGTACTTCTCAAAGCTTGGGAAAGATTCATTAATTGTTTCGTCGATTTTATTTTTTATTTACAAATATTGAATGAGGGATGGAGGAAGAGGAGAGAGTGAGACAGACAGAC